CGCTGGGACCGTGCGTCCGTACGACCGCCACGTGTTCCTCTGCTATGGGTCCCCTGACACGTGGCAGTCCGCTGCGGAGTCCTCTGACGGGATGCCGAGGCTCCTCTCATCGGCGATCACCGCGAGAAAGGGGAACATGAAGAGAAAGGTCACATCTTTTTCTCCAACCTAATGCTCCTCCGATCGCAAGCTCAAGTTCGATTTTTCTTCTTCTTCTAGATATATACAGTCCAAATGAATCATACTCGCGTATTACCCTTGACATTTAGATGTTTGCTAATTTACCCTCCAATTCTACCATATCAAGTTTAATTATTTAAATGTTTACCTGAAATTTCCCCTTCACCTGTCAAAAAACAGTGAGGTTGGATGGAAAATTAGCAGCTGCCGAGATTTTAGTGGCTAAATTTGCAAGTATGATTAATTTGAAGGATATGTAGTTAAAACCCCTTATTATTATTGTCATTATTTGGTTCTGGTTCTTCATTAATCATGTGCATGGCAAATAAAAATCTGTGGCTGGAATTAGTTTGTAAAACCAGTACATTCTTGCTTGTTTTGCTGTGCAAAAGTAAATTTTACCTTAAGATTGAAAATGCTGTGGTTTTTTTTAATTTTAATTTTTTATAATCTACAGACAAAATTGACAATGTGCAAAGGAGAGGATAATGATGAATATTGTTCAAGCGGAGAATCTGCGGATGTACTGATTTTCCCAGATATGATCAGATACAGGTTAGATAACCAATTACACAGTGCTACCCAACATACAAACTCAATATTAGGCTAAAATTTCGTTTCATCATCACCTTGCAGGCAATTGAGATGCTCTGATGTCGATAGTTTCGTTGAAGATGTTCTGGTGAGAGAGGCACAGTGGTCGTCTGGATCAGCCGAGGGAATGATGGAATCATCACATATTTTCATATGTGCCCATGGGAATAGAGATCGGAGATGTGGTGTTTGCGGGCCTGTTCTTGTTAGCAAGTTTCAAGAAGTCATGTCACCCAAATTTCAAGGGCAAGTTTGTGTTAAACCATGCTCACACGTTGGGGGCCACAAATATGCCGGGAACGTTATTGTTTTTAATCGAGATGTAAATGGAGAAGTGAGTGGCCACTGGTAAGAAAATTTCTGCATAATTTGCTTATAGTTCTCGTGTGCTGTCACAATTTTGCCATTAGCTCTATTGATACTGAATTCTCTCT